TAAACACACACGTAAACACACATGTAAACACACGTAAACACACACATAAACACACACGTAAACACACACGTAAACACACGTACTCTGTTAGCATGAACTACATTCAGGCTTTGACATGATGTTAAAGGTTCTTGTGTTTTCACCTCGTGACGAAAGATGAATCCAGAGATTCCAGCGATGAGTTCCGTCATGAAGACCAGACACAAGAACGCAGCGTACTGGGCGGAGGTCAGAGGTCAGAGGTCAGAGGTCAGGTCAAGTGTTTTATAAAAACATAAGAGGTTAGTGACATCTAGTGGTGAGGTTACAGAGTGCGACCACTGGACCTTTAATATCTAAAACCAAAACATTCAAGCCCCCACAGACCAGTTTCAACATCCAGGGGCGCCCCCTGCAGGTGGCGAAGCAGCCGAACAGTCCAAACAGCACGATGGCAGCGCCGGTGCCGGCGAGGACATACGGAGTGTGGGAGGGGCTACTGGAGATCAGTAACATGTAGGGGTCCAACATGAACTTCCACCATAACCCCACCGACAGAAGCACCACACCTGTCACCTGAGGGGGAGGAGTCAGGGTTCACACTGTCAACCAATCAGGAAGAACTGGTGTGTGTGTGTGTGTGTGTGTGTGTGATTCAGAAACACATGAGTGTGTAATGAGCTCTGACAGCAAAGTGACAAAGTGACAAACAGATGAGAAGAAGAAGAAGATGAAGATGATGAAGAAGAAGAAGAAGAAGAAGAAGATGAAGAAGAAGATGAAGAAGAAGAAGAAGAAGAAGATGAAGAAGAAGAAGAAGAAGATGAAGAAGAAGAAGAAGAAGAAGATGAAGAAGAAGAAGAAGAAGATGAAGAAGAAGAAGAAGAAGAAGAAGAAGAAGACACAGATGAACATTCTGATAATCAGCTGAACCATGTTTTCATTGTCGTCCTGGTGTCACAGCTTCGTCTTCATTCCTCACACTCCAGATAATTACTGAACCTCCAGGTGACCCCTGACCTCCAGGTGACCCCTGACCTCAGCACACTAAACCTCATTTCATCTGTTTGCATTCAGGACAAAACGTCACTTAGAGTAAAAGCAAATGAACAGATGGACTTCAAACTCTTGACTCAGTAGAAAAAACTAGTTTCTAAAGGAAATCAATGTAAATGAAGAAGCGACTGAGACCAGTGGTTGTAAAGTTTAGTGAAAGTGTTTCTCACCCAGAAGATGAAGGAGTAGAGCAGCAGCAGCGTCTTCACACAGAAAATCACTGGCTTAGTTTCCATCCTCCTGCGAGACATGATCCTGCAGAAGATCCAGATCCTACAGAACCTTTAAATGATCCTCTGAGTCCAACAGATTCTACAGAACCTTTAAATGATCCTCTGAGTCCAACAGATNTCCAACAGATTCTACAGAACCTTTAAATGATCCTCTGAGTCCAACAGATCCTACAGAACCTTTAAATGATCCTTTAACTCCAACAGATCCTACAGAACCTTTAAATGATCCTTTAACTCTAACAGATCCTACAGAACCTTTAAATGATCCTCTGACTCCAACAGATTCTACAGAACCTTTAAATGATCCTCTGAGTCCAACAGATCCTACAGAACCTTTAAATGATCCTCTGAGTCCAGCAGATCCTCCGTCCTCCTCCTCTCCTGGACACGGTCAGTGTTTCCACTGAAGCTCTGTCTGTGACAGGAGCAGCTGACAGCGTCCTCTGCTGGTGTCACAGGTTACTACAGCAGTGACAAGAAGAAATAAACCAGAGAATTCTCCTCATTCTATAATTTATGTTCCATGTTCACCTATTAATTACCTTTCCCCTTCTCTCATCTCATCTTGACTTAGTTGCAGGAACTCGTTAAAAACAAGCAGCCATATGTTGTGGGTCAGAAACCTCCAGTTGTGTTGATGGTTTTTCAGCAGCTGCCGGACGTTCAGCCTCAATCAGCTGATGTGACGCCTCGTTCTTCACACTGACTTCACAATGAACAGGGAGGTGGTCGTCACGGAGACCGAGCTGCTCTGACACCCGACTGTGAACCTGCTGCCTCACCGACCAACGCCCGGCGGCCATGTTGAATCATCTCAGGTCGGTGTGAAGAGACGAGGACGAAACAACACGTCTTCTGATGTGGACATTTATATTGGCTTGAATTATCTACACACAATAACTCAATGATTATGATTATATATGTGACCAATGAAATTAAAATGAAACAGATTCAATGATATAAAAAATGAAGATTCTTAATAAGGGGAGGAAAAGTTTCTGTTTTATTTTGATCTGAAGTGAAATCAAGAGGATTTATTCATTCATTTGATTTTAAAGGACAGTTTTGTAGTGTAGGATTGTTCCCTGAGACGATGAACACAGCGTCAGTCATTCACATGATCAACTGTTGGTCCTTTATATATATGTATTTCAAAATGAGTTATGTTTATTTTATATAATGTGAGACTCAAGTTTATACTGATCATCTTCTCTCTCTCTGGACTTAGACTTGTACAGACCAGGGTGTGAAGGTTCCAGGTTCAGCCGGACGACCACACTGCAACAGACACATATACAGCCTC